CTTCAAGTTGTAGTGGGGTTGAAGTACCCTTGGGGGTCAAAAGTAAAAAAAAATAATTTGTGAGTATAACAAAACAAAACGATGTATTGTTGTGTAAATTATATAAAAGGCGAATTTGGACTATTTATGGAATTGTTTCATGTATATGGCTTTGTTTTAGTTTTATTATGTAACGCATGAATGGATTTAATTTCATCTGGGATTATCTTTAGGGTCATAGAGATCACCCATAATTATCACTTTATTATCGTTCTAGGCCCAGCATGGCCAGGTAGTTAGGGAGCTCGACTCGCAATCTGAGGGTCACGGGTTCGAATCCCCGTCCCACCAAACATGCTTGCCCTTTCAGCCACGGAGACGTTATAATGTGACGGTCTATCCCACTATTCGTTGGTAAAAGAGTAGCCCAAGAGTTGGCGGTGGGTGGTGATGATGACTTCCCTCTAGTCTTACACTGGTAAATTAGGGACGGCTAGCGCAGATAGCCCTCGTGTAGCTTTGCGCGAAATTCAAAACAAACAAGCAAAAACAGCTACCCCAAAATGCGTTTTAGTTTTGGATAGTGTGGTACTAAAGCTGGCATACGACAATATAAAATAATTGTTTGTTTGTTTGTAATTAAGCACAAAGCTACACAATGGGCTATCTGTGCTCTGCCCACCACGGGTATCGAAACCCGGATTCTAGCGTTGTAAGTCCGCAGACATACCGCTGTGCCACTGGGGGGCATATAAAATAAAGTGTAATAGAAAATCTTTAAAATTATACAATGAAGCATTTACGTATGCTTAAATTTTATGATGGCCATAAAATCATAATGAACCAATATATTAAGTTTACCATAAGTCACATTGTAGTTATAATATCCGAAAACATTAGTCTCCAAACTAAAGACATTGTTTCAATGGCTTATGAAAATCATGCCTTGAACTACTTGAACTTTGGAAAAGACCAAAGAACATTTTTAAAGTGGTTTCAAGGACTATATCAAAAATTATATTTCTGACGAAAATGCAGGTATATGTTCCACCTTAACAGTCTGTGGTGTACGCATGGCTACTAAAAACATGTGTAGATGCGGTCTAACCTTGAAAAATAAACAATTATGGAATTTTCCAAGTCACGTTGAACGGGAAACGGGCTATAACTATAGTTTTGAAGAGAGGTTGGGGCGTTATTTTGTGGGCATTAGTAACTGATCCAACACGGTCGCTTACATCGTTTTATCAGACAACTGGGTCACTTATACGTTTTGTGAGACATCTATCATCCAAATAATGTAATTTCTTGTATTCTTATGAACTAGGGAGAAAAGTTGTAATTTCGTGAACCGACACAGTGAATGATTGCGTATTGTCAAGCAGTCACGCAAACGAAGCGCGTGCAACTGAAGTAAGTAGTCGGAGTTTTTTAGTCACTCTTCTGTTATTGTGTTTTTATCTGTGGGAATGTATATTAATGTGTACTGAAAGAAGCATATTTAAGATAATTTCGTTTACACCAGCCTGAAATATCGGTGTAACAGTGTAAGATGCCTTACATTCAGCCATTTCTTAATTTCTAGTTTTTGTAACACGTTACGATTTACTTAATTTACAACTTACGTAATAGGCTGAACAAAAACTATTCTTACCGTATAACCTTAAGGTTAACAGAACTATTAGAAAATGTAGTAAGGATGCACCAAATAGTTATTGAAGCAGTTTCACGGTATTCCTCTCATCTTCTTCCCTTGGTAATGGTGTTACGTATCACAATTTCTAAAACCGAGCTAAATGGAAATTTAAATTTAGTAGTTAAATAAATGCCGATATATCTCCAGTTTATGATATTTGCTAACAAGATGGATACACCCAGTTTCTTTTTTTAATACGAATATGTTTTAATTTATAAACAACAATACAATTTACAGTAACAGTTATTACAAACGGCTACTCCAAACAATGACTTGTATACAAAAGTTCCACAAGCTTACAAGCAATACAAAGTTTTCTTTCTAGTCTAGAACTTCTTTTTCTTATCGAGGGTTCACGATGAGCGAGTGAATTTTGAGTTGGCGTAGGTACAATTCACTTAATAGGGAGCTAGCTAGTCCTGTGGTCTCTACTCATCACACGCTGATTTTTTTACCGGTGACGTTAGGTAGTGTTTTCGTAAAAGTACTAATGTCCTATGTGAATTCACTAAAGTTGAATGATTTGTAATGTTCGAAATTTATAAACGTTCCTGGTCAAATATCTGAGGTTTTCCGATTAATAAGCGTTAATCACAATTATAGTTATAGCTTCCAAAATGTATAGCACACTGACTATAGCGAACCAAAAATAGATACAGTTTTTTTAGGAGCGTCGCTTTGGTTATATTTATAGGCGTGTGGAGAGTTTCTCGAAATTTCAGTTTTAGTAACAATACTGACGCTAACACTAGCGGTTATGTACACACATATATTGTTGATTCTTACACTCGAGAATCTTCTACAACTTTAGAGAGTAGGCTGGAGTTTTGCAATACATATTTAACAGAATAAGTTATGTACAAGATACGAGTTAACACCTGAACATTATTCATTTCGTTAATTCGTACATCTCTACTAAGATAAAAGTTGATACGTTGTTACCCGTCGTTATTATTTACTTATTTACATTAATGATCCTTATTTTTATTTTTCATTATTTCTTTAGTAACATTTATTTTTGCGGCATTCTATATTATGTATATACTATCACTCTGAGCCAAAATATATACAAAAATATATCAAACTTTCAGTTTAGTTTTATTTGTTCTTCCGCTTCTACTGCTGATACCCATTAAAGTCATACTTGTTATAAACAGTGTAAATTTTTAGTATCGTTATTGTTAATTATCAACATTGTTGCTATTACCATTACAGTTGTCATAATTCTTACTCTCTTATTATTGATAATATTACTGTAATCATTATTGTTGATATTTTTTCACTTTATACTTACTTAAACAATTGTTTATTGAAGTAAATTCTCCAGTTCATTTCCCTCGTACAAAATCAACGAAAGTTTAATAGAAAAATCCGAAGCAGAATTTATATTTGCCTATTTATTACTTTCAAAAAGCTACCCACTCGGCTATTAACAAGGGTAAAACAAAAAGTTCAAATACCAAATATTATCTGTATGAAATGGATTTTGAAGATAGTCTTTTGATAGGATTATTCATTACCACCTAGACTATGACTAAGCTAAATTCTCGAGTCGTATCAAAAGAAGCCCACAGTGACATAAATGACTGGACCGTGACTTGAAGTTTTGAGCAGGCACACAACCCCCAAAAACTGTGTTGCACATTTAGACATAGGACTAGGAAGACACAGTAACTACATCTGTGATGACGTACCTGTTTTAGGCTACTTATCATGTGATTTGTAATGTCCTATATAAAGCTCCATGAAGTACACGTACTAACTTGCAGATTCAGATATTAAGTAGAATGTAAATGCTGTATTAAAAAACAAAAACACGTGATATGGAATGGATTTAGGATAAACAGGCAGCAACAAAAACAAAAACACGTGACATGGAATGGATTTTAGATAAACAAGCACAAATAATTTTATGAATTATTCAATTCCTTTGAATAATGTCTGTGGTTGATCTTATCAAATATCCTGGGAAAAAAAATTCTCGGATGAAAGATCAGGATGTTCATCGGAACCACCCCAATAACACCCTGAACTCCTTCAGGGGAGTAATTTCTGTGATTGTTCTTATCAGTATTGTGAAGAAAATATATCTCAAATGAAAGACAAGGGTGTAACAGATATACAGCAGATCTCAATTAGTAAGAACAGGGAATATGAGTCTTCAAGATTTTTTAATTCTTACATTTTTTTCTCCCTGATGGAATATTTAAACCATCCTCTGTAGCCGTATGTTCTACATCTGATTTGATATTTTAACTGCTAGCAACATAATATGGGGGTGTGAGAATCACCATACGAAACTACTACTACTTTAAATCTTATCTTAAATGGAAAGATGAAACACAAGTGTAAGGTCTCGCTCTCTCACTTTTTAAAAACATGGTCATCACTGGAAGAGTCCATGGAGGTTGATTGACTTAAAGACAAAATTCGAAACAAACCAAACCAATCCTAAGATATCGCCTCTGAGGGTTTGAATAAGTTTGTTTGTTTGTTATGAATTTCGCGCAACCATGTTTTTGTTGGTCGTATCATCACATTCTTTACTATATCTTTTCATCATCCCATGAAACTTAAATCTAGACAGTCTACTCTGGGTCGATTTGCTCTCACATCACAAACTTTCTCTCTTCAATACTCGATAGTATACTTACATGCTCCGAATCAGACCTTTTGTGCCATTTACTTGTCCATTTATTCACCTTTCCTTCTTCAGTGACTCACGAGTCAGGGATTATTTTCCTATCATTCTGAGAGAGAGAGAGAATGGTTTCAATCGATGCCACCTGATTTGTGCGTCATGGTAGAAATTAAAGAAGTCAATCTGGCCTTCCTTAAACTAATTCTCGGAACTTCATCCAACCATTATTAATTTGTTATCCATTAACAACAGTGTGAAGGTGATAACTGATCGTATTGTCTAAATAGCTGTACTTTAACCACTTGTGAAACCTTGACATATTTTCCATGATATTCTTGTATAAACTCCAGTAATGGTAATGCATCTACATGTACAAAGAAAACACATTTCCACAATTTAATATATGGTGTAAATATTATATGATATTTCAATAGACAAAACCTTTTATTCACTTAAAATCCTATGCTGTCGCCTTTGCTGTTTCTAATAAATATAAGTACAATTGTCGGGACTGTAATGGTATTGTTTTATGAGAAAGTAGTGTATTATACATTCTGTATTTAGGGTAATTTAATGTTGACTTTTATATTTCATAAGAACACAAAAAAATTGTTAAGAGGCACAACAAGTGATAGTGACCCTTCAAGATGGCGATCAATATTCCTGGATTAGTTTCTATCATCATTTTCTACATCATTATTATGGTTGTGGGGATATGGGCCAGCCGAAAGAAGAAGACATCTGGCGGTGATCAAGAGAGTGAGGAGGTCATGCTAGCGGGAAGAAATATAGGAGTTTTTGTTGGAATTTTTACGATGACAGGTAGGTGTATTATAGCAAGCCAAACTTTGCAAATGATAATGTTACAAATATTAAAAGGTCTGAGATCGAATTCCTTTTCCGAACATGTTCGCTCTTTCAGCCGTGGGGGCGTTATAATGTGAAAACCAATCCAACAATTCGTTAGTAAAGATAGTAGTCTAAGAGTTGGTCGTAGATGATGTAGCGTAACTGCCTTTCCTACATTCCATCGTCTCAAAATTACGGACGGCAAGCGCAGATAGCCTTAGAGTAGCTTTTCGTGAAGTTCAACAACAAAAAAATAGTAATATTAGATAAGTGCATAGTTTTCGTTAATGATAATATATTAGATTAGTGTAGACACGCACTCATTCGGTGTAGGGGAGGTTCGACCGAACACCCTGTTTTTGTAATGTAAAAAATTATGCTTATATAGTTATAGCACAGCTGCTTATGGCATCTGTCGTCTTCTACATGGTCTACATTCTTCTGATGAAACATTAGCATTTTTTGGCTTGAAGTAGTCTCGTGCCCTCAGACCACCGTAGCATTAGCATGCTTTGCACGCTGATTTTGCTTCGTACAATATATGTTAGCTTTTGGTCTCAGAATGAACCCCCCCCCCCACCGATCCGATAGATAATTTCATTTTAGTTTGTTTGTTTGAAGTTAAGCACAAAGCTACACAATGGGCTATCTGTGCTCTGCCCAACACGGGTATCGAAACCCGTTGTAAGTCCACAGACATGCCGCTGTGCCACTGGGGGGCTTCATTTTAGTAAGTTTTAAGGTAGACAAGTAATGATCTGTTTTTTCGTTTGAAAATTACCAGAAGGAACGGTGACATTTTTCTCTACACTTTACCAGTTTTTAAATATATTTTGATTGTAGTAAGTCTTCCATGTAAGTTAATGCCATCAGTTCCATATTTAAGTTTTCAATGAGGGTTACGGCACGGCCAAGTTTTATTTGACGTTTATACACGCGTGTATTTCAATAAATGACTGATTAATTCTCTAGGTAGTTGTTCCTTTGAAAAGCAGTAAAAACGTTACCAATTACAATAATTGTTATCCTCGAAATTACCAGACTTTCATACTACACTACCTATGAAGTTCACATATTGCATCGTGTTAATATTTGTATGTTTTTATCTATTACAACGCTTAGCGTCCCGTGCTGGTTAAACAGTAACTCTATGTAATTACAATGTTAAAATCTGAGGTTCGTTTTCCCGCGGCGGTCAAAGCGCAGATATCCCACTGTGTAAGTTTCCTCTAAAATAACATCAACAGCACACAGTGAGAAAATTTTAGTGGCAGGACAAATAGGTTTTCAGGTTGTATCTAAAGAAGTATTGAATACAAGTCTAAAGAGGCTATAATGTTATTGGTTAGGTCACATTTGAAGTACTGTGTTCAGTTATGGGCTCCTTACCTTTGAAAGGAGATGGAATTGTTAGAAAGGGTTCGGAGGAGGACTACTAGGATATTAGGATAATAGACTACAATCCCTGAAACTGTCTTAACTTGAAAAAAGAGAGTTACAGGGGATTTGATTGAGGCGTTTAGGATTGCCAAGGGAGTTGATAGTGTTGATGCATTATCTTTTTTCTTAATGGTGAGAATGGTAAAACTTGGGAACATAAATATAAATTTTGGCAAGGTAGGAATCATCTTCAGCTAAGACAGCTTTTTTTACTAACAGGTAGGTTAGCCTTTGCAAGATCTGGTAGATGCAGTTAATTTAAGGAAGTTTAAGGGAGGGCTTGATAAATAGTGAATAATAAGGACTGGTTTTGAGTGTTTTATTTTACTTTGAAGCTTAGTATAGTGGATGTGACGGCCTAGAGGTCCCTTGTTGTCCTTAAATTATACGTATGTATATGTAAAATGGGTGGTATTTTTGTTTACACATTTTTTTTTGGCTCATACATAACCAATCTATTCATGCGCCAATAAGCAATTTGTTTTGGTACATAAATAGTTTGAAAAAGCCGATAGAGCCGGTAATTTAATTAAGGGTTATTGTTATTTGTAACCTAGAAATGCTTTATTATGCTGTTCATGCAGATTTATGACTATTATGAGAGCTGGAAAGCCATTTCGTGGCCAATCTGCATTGAAATATTTTATTTTTTATTTCTTAATAATTTCGGGCTTATAACGCTAAAAAATGGGTTTCAATATTCGCGGTTGGCAGAACATAGCCTATTATGTAGCTTTGTTTGTTTTGTACGTGTTTAGGAGCAACAGGTGAATTGTAGTTCTGGATGTTGTTGTTAGGTTCACCTCTCACATATTTTGGACTTCTAGACTTCTCAGTTTTTACCCTTATTTTTATCCTGATGAGAAACAGTGAAATTATTCAATTGTTCCGGTTTCAATGTACCTCAGTATGCGTTAATATGTGCAGTTTGTCATTATAAATGACTTCTTTAAATTTCACTTGTAAAATCATCTGATAAAGACAGATCACATAGTACAGTGTTATCTTCCTGTTTGCTACGTTTTCTTAACCTGTCTGTCATAGAGCAGCTGTAGGAACTGAGATTTAAAGACCTGTTTTTGTTTTTTTTACTTTTACTTATTATTTTTTTAACTCGATAACTTATGAAAAACTATTTTTTATGGTTTTAAATTACGATGTAACAAACGTCAGATTATTTAGCAAATGATATAAGTGTGTTATTGTAATTTAAACAGTTTCACACTGTATGGAAATAAATATGCATTAGTTCTTTACTCTTAAAATCCGGTAACCCTACATACATACATACATATTAGTTAAATTTTGTAGAGTTTGTCTATCTAACTATTTAATACAAAATGGCGATCCATTTTCGCTTGACATTTACAAACATTATTGCATTTAAATATGGAATATTTATCCAACAGATGAGTAAGCCTGTTTTGAATTATTACTAAATGTTTGTGTATATATATGTGTGTGTATTTGTTAAAGTATTTGTACAGTACCTTACTTACATGACAACATAAAGATAGCAGCACCATCTACTCGATAAATCACAGTGATTCTTGGTTTAGTACACAGTAATTTAATTATCTGAAGAAACCGCATATTCTATCTGCTTATTGAATTTTACCTTCGATTAAAACACTTTATATTGCTAATAAACTGTACAAAGTCAGTAAGACTTTATATCAAATCGAGGTTTATTTGTTGTTAATTTTTGCAATGTTCTGTTTAGCTGCATGAATATGTTTATTGAGAATATTAACTTGGGAAACTTACATCCTCCTTTTGTGTTTGTGCAGAAAAAATATCTTTATGTAATCTATTGAAATATACCCTTGTAATAATTTATTCTAGCTACCTGGGTAGGAGGAGGTTACATTAACGGAACAGCGGAGGCCATGTTCAGTTTCGGTTTAGCGTGGTGTCAAGCTCCTTTTGGGTATTCTCTTAGTCTTGCTCTTGGTGAGTCCAAGATTAGTAGAAAATACTTGTTCAAATGTTATTTTTTATTTGGGTTTTTGTATTAAGTAAGTGTTTATCATAGACTGTTTAACTCCATAATTCATGTTCTTAAGATTGCTTCTCTGCAAAGTGCTTATGATAAAGCATTCTTGGTTCGAGGAGCTGAACACGTTTTTTCAATATTTGATTTGTTGTGTATAGAAACGCAGTTATATTCGGTCATTTTTACTTTCAAGTCAAACTGAAATTGTTCTTTAATAATTAAACTACTCGTCATTGTTTTTAAAATATTAATAATTTTCTATGACTTTTCTTCTTCGAATACAAATCAGATTTTGGAAATTACGTCGTTTCTCATTCGTATGGCTGAATTAGAATTTTAATACTCATTTTATATTCAACTTAATGCTGAAATATTGTAGTTAGGATGGGTGAAAAAAAGTCGCGTAGATTCTAAAAATACCTAAGTTCTAACTTAAATGGTCTTATCGACTTGCAAATTGGATATTAAAAGATAAATCAAATGTATAGCATAAATAATTTAATTATATTCATAACATTAATATGATAAATTTGAAATCTTCTATGGAGTGTACATATTTTTGACTTGCATTAAGGACCATTTTGTGTCTAGGTGGTTTGATATTTGCCAAGAAGATGCGGAGTCAAGGTTATATGACTATGCTGGACCCATTGCAGGAAAACTTTGGACCAAGAATGGGAGGATTACTCTTTCTTCCTGCTCTTTGTGGAGAGATCTTCTGGTCAGCAGCTATTCTTGCTGCACTTGGTGAGTGGACATTTATGATATCTTATATTAATTTTAGAGTTAATTTATAAGTATCACACCTCCTGGACCAGGCATGGCCTAGTGGTTGTGCGCTGGGTGCGTTATGTGAATAGTAATCAGTCCCATTGTTTGATTCAAAGCCCTTACGACAGCAGATGCTGCTGATTGGTTAACTTTTTTCTGATCATAAGTTCTAAGTTAGGGGTGACTACGCCTGAACCTTAGGGGCCCCAGACTTCATCGTTTAGTCCATGCGTTGTGTACCAAATGTTGGATCTCCCACTCTTTACACAATGCTGACAACATCGAGTGCAAATGATATGGGTGTGTGTGTGTATGGAGGGGCATTGCTTACTGACATTGAAGAAAATCTCTAACATCTAGTAGATAAAGCAAAACAAATCAGCATAGGATTAGAATCATATCTAAATACTAACCCCAGTAATTATAAAACATATGCGTGTTCAAATTATAGTAAATGACGAAACTTTCGGTGAACAAGGTCAAATAATTGGAGCCCATGGTTACTGAAGAATGCGACGGCTGTCAAGAGGTTAAACGCGAGTTAACGTGATTGGAAGTGTATTCCAGAATCTTTACGCAATGGAGATGTGGTATATCAAACGAACGAACCAAATAATTCTTCTTGGTGCTTTGTTTTGATCTATTACAATACATAGACGCAAGGTGTAGCCACTGAAGAAGGTGGTCATAGGCTGTCTTATTCTTAAGAGTTTGAACTGTTGTGCTTTCCGACAGCTCTACAGAAACCATAAGATCAACAAATCGGTTCTTAGGAACTTTGTCTTTAGTATCAGCTTTATGTACAAGCCAAATGAGAAAGCTGAGATACTTTGGACATACCTCAGTGCAGTGGTTCTCAAACTTTTCAGGCTCATGTACCACTTTTTGTTTAAATTTTTTTGAAGTACAAAATTGGGCCTAATTTCTAAGATTAGAAGAAAAAACTAGTAACAAAAATTAATATTTTTAATACTTACCAATTAGTGGAAAGGGGGTGATTTTGTTTTTTTTTGGGGGGGGCACAGTTAAAGAATTTGTGGTGCGTTTTTGTCAATGTGAAAGTGGGGGGAACACTAACGAGTCCATGCAGGCAGAGGGCGAGTCTATAAGCGAGGAGAATAGTGTTTATATGTACGTGGGAAGCTCAAATTGAGATTATTATAAATTTTATAATTTGTACGTATATTTTTAGCGTAGTACTAGTGGTACAGTTTGAGAATGACCGCCTTAATATGTAAAAACAACACACCGAATCAGGTGCTCATAGAGGATGAAATTTTTTGGAAAATTACCCTCTTAGAAAGCATTGTAAAAGGACTACATCAACGATTGTCTTGGAATTATTGTCATGAAGGACCTGTTTATATTGCCACCTACTTTTAAATATGTCATTGGCACTAGCATAAGCCCTCTGTTTATCACAAGTTTTAACCGTGAAAACACTTTGTATGGTTTTGGAATATTTTCTGAGTTATTGTAATGATTGTGGCGAGATATTATTCAGTTACCTACTTGATTAAGACAACAAATGATGCTTTATAACGGTTGCATTTAATGTACGTTTCCAGGAGCCACTATTAGTGTGATCATTGACATCGAGATCAACACATCCATCATAGTATCCTGCTGTATTGCTGTATTATACACACTCTTCGGTGGCTTGTATTCAGTCGCTTACACTGACGTCATTCAGCTGTTTTGTATCATCATCGGTTTGGTAAGTAGAAAGTACAAATCTTTTTATTTATTTTATTTTGTGCATGACACTGTTGTACCTTTACAGAGCTATATATTTCATATATTAAGTTACATAATATAGTAGGCTGTTGTTAGACGATTTACATCAAATGACATTACTACACTACCACAACGGTGGAAATTGGTATTATTACGTGTGACCTACATAATATTGTTAGGCTGTTATTACGATTTGTTCCACCTTAAACTATAATATTAGCACAGTGTGGTAACCAGTGACACAGGTATAAGTGGGCCAATAGGGACAATGTTTTTAGGTCTCAGAAGTATGGGGGCCTGAAGACTCACCGAAAAAATATGCAAGTTTTATTTAAGAAATTGAATACTAATAAATAAATAAAACTGTAAAGTAAGACTTAACAATTACCAAAATAAAAAAGAAATCAATTGGGCGTTTGTTTGTTTGTAGTTAAGCACAAAGCTTCACAATGGGATAACTGTGCTGTGCCCACCACAGGTATCGAAGCTTGTTTTTTTAGCTGGGAGCATTGGGTTTTTATTTTCACGTTCAATATTTACTAAGCAAGTTTTCAAATCCTCTGCATAATGATATATAGTTTAATCCAATAAACAAAATTAAACACTGTATGTGTTACAGTCGCTTGTACCTATAAAAGGTTATGGAGCTTTTCTAAATCTAAAAGGCTCGAGCCTAGTGGTTAGCGTGCAGGATTATAGAACTGCACGTGTACAGTATTCCCTCGCTATTCGCGGGGGTTACGTTCTTTACCCCCCCCCCCGCTATTCGCGGTTTTTCGCTATTCTTGGATGCAGTTTTAAAACGTCTATGTATGAGATTATATACGGTACTAAATGCTTCCCAAACACTTTCTAAAGACACTCTTACTCATTAATACAGTAATAATGTAGTAATATTGCATGCAGTTATGTATTTCACTAATGTAGTAATGATAATGTACCGGCTGTGCTTTGCCGTTTGCGTTGTGGGGGAAGCTGAGGCAGTCAGCCAATAGCAGCCCAGCCCATTGTTCGATGAAGACGTCAATCGATAAAAACTATTCGAGAGAGTAAATACAGACATACCCTCGAAAAGCGCTTTTAGTCTCTATGACCTACAAAAACCCTGTTTACCGAGCATTCGTTTTTATGACGTTATGACGCTAGCCCGGTATACCGGCATACGATGCGATAGGGTTAAGAGCCTAACCCGCGAATATGCGGGGCCGCGAATGGGGAACCGCGAACAGGTGAGGGTATACTGTAGTCCACTGTTCCACTCCTGTTACCGTACTTTGGGGCCGGGTAAGGTTGACGGTTCAAATACCATTTTTCGTTGAGATAATTGTACACTGCTTTAGTCTGTCTGTCAGTTCAAAATTAGGGACGGCTAGTACTTGAGCGCGTATATCTGGAAAGAAATATACAAGACTCGCATGATTGTAAGTAATTTGTAATATAATTTTTTCAAGGTGTTAACCTGCATCATGCATATCCATCTGTGGAGTAATCGTGTTTAACATTTTTATGTAAGTTTTTTAATGTGTAGGATTTCTTAAAATATTAACCATAAAGTAGAATCTCAACTATAAAGAAAAAACGTAGCACAGAGGAACACAGATTATTATTGTTAAAGATATCTAAATCAGCCTAGAGTGTTTTCAACGACGAAACTGTTTTTATTCAGAAGCAGAAAGGTGAAATAAAGGCCATTCTTTGAAAGTGCTCAAATTTCGTTAACATTTATTTATGTATGTGTTCCTCTGGACCACTTCTTTTCCTAATGGTTAAGATTACACTTACGAACCACAGATCTGACAGCGATAATTTTACGGACCTACAACATTAGAATTAGGGGTTCGATTCCCCACGGTGGACACAACAGATAGCTCAATGTGGCTTTGCTCTAAAAGATGCAAACAAACAATCTGTTGAAGTTGTTTCGAATTCTGTTATTAATATCTATATCAATATTTTATTTACGTTTAAGAATAAAATATTTTTGTTAAATCCCTCAGTGGAACAAGTTATTTGACTTTCTGTTGTTGATTTGTCACATCAGAACTAACGACCTCAAACAAGTCACAAAGTTTGCTTATAAACATCTCAGTGACTCTTATCCCTTACTTGTACATTACTTAAGCCATTGTCGTGTGTCTCATATCATTTGTCGTGACAAAAACAAGCAAAATGAATTCTGGCTTTCATAATAAGTCTTTGCTACTACATCTTTAAATCACAATATTGATTGATTCAGCGCCATTGTGACTTTATGTTAACCAGCTACTTAATTCTCCATCCAACACTAACTTTACCACAGCGACTAGGAAATAATGTTTAGCAAAAGACGATTTACGTCGTTCATTTCAAGAGATCTTCTCCGTTTCCCACAATTTCCACTATTTTAATACTGACGACATTTTTAGTCGTCTCCACACTAACGTTTCCAAACCTTTCTGGCTCACCTGACATCTTTAATTCTACCAATAACTCCTACCTCATGGCCAGGTGGTTAGGGCGCTCGACTCGCAATCCAAGGGTCGTGGGTTCGAATCCCCGTCCCACCAAACATGCTCGCCCTTTCAGCCGTGGGGGCGTTATAAGGTGACAGTCAATCCCACTATTCGTTGGAAAAAGAGTAGCCCAAGAGTTGGCGGTGAGTGGTGATGACTAGCTGCCTTCCCTCTAGTCTTACACTGCTAAATTAGGGACGGCTAGCGCAGATAGCCCTCGTGTAGCTTTGCGCGAAATTCAAAAACAAACAAACAACTCCTACCTTTATCCTCACTTCTACTTCTACTCAACCCCACTCTAAAAAAAACAAACGTTTTTTCGTCTTAAAATATTAATTATATTTCTCTACTCTGACATTTTTTTCATAGTAAATATTATGTTAGTTTTAATAAATTTTAGATGAAAGAACCAATGCATTAATTAAAGGAAGTGATTTATCACGAACAGTGGTTGAGTATCCCGTTCAGTTTCTTACACGAAGCTGTTGGTGACACGTCTTTAAATTCGATCGACTGGCTCGGGTCGGTGGAGCTGACCGATGTTGGTGTGTACGTGGATTACTGGTTGTTGTTAATACTTGGAGGAATTCCTTGGCAGGTAGGCTTAGCAACTATCATACTGGAATGTTGCACACAACTAAGACTTCGAATACAGAATTTTCCTGATAAATTATCTGAGAAATATTAAGTAATGAAATGAAAATGTTAAGGGTTTGAAAGGTAAGAGTAACTGAAAATTTCAGTGCATTTTAAGATGCTCGAAATCCGTCTGTTTTCTAATCGAAAGTTATTTAATGGTGAAACTAATTCCTAATTATCGTTTCTTTGTTTCAATAAGTGTTGCGAATTGTTCTGTTCTTTAGGCCTAAGATGTCATCGTATATTACATTACAATGTTGTTTTTCTTTAGCTTGATTCATTTATTTTTGGAAAGTACAGTAGAAAAAATATACCTGATATGATTGAGCATTATTTTCAGTCTGTTCGTTACATGTTTGGTTTATCATATGATGTTTGAGTGTGCTTTGACTTTAGTTAAGATTATATCGGAGAACTACGACATGCTCATTTTAACTTGTTCCAACACAGTAGATTTTGGTCCCGCCATCATATTTATTTTCTTCACGTGTACTGGTAGAAATATCGTCAAATAGAAGCCGTAGTTCAGCCAGATCTGTGGCTTTAGACTTTTTTACATTTTAACACAGGATTACTTTAAACTTGTGCAATTTAATGTCAGAAATTGTTGTATCCTGTCCATAAGATTATAGTGAGTAAGAATGATTGAAACTTGTGATAGTGTGTGGTCTATTTGACTAGATGGAGAATTTTCTAATACATTTGACTCAGCAAAAGTACTTCCTTTTTTTACTATGATCCTTAATATTGACCAAACCTTGTATGCGTTGTTGCAATAAAATAGAAGTATGTATATTGTTTTTTCTGCTTTTCTAGGTTTATTTCCAAAGAGTTCTATCTGCTAAGAGTGCCTTTAATGCTCAGATACTTTCGTATGTCGCTGCTGTCGGATGCATTTTTATGGCCATTCCTCCAATGATCATTGGAGTAGTTGCTAAGGCAACATGTAAGTATATTGTATTAGTCATGATCAGCTACACTTTTGCAGAAGACTATATCTAATCTTCAGGATGCTCACTGGATTCACTCCAGTATTCCATCACTTTGGGAATGAGTTATACATTTCCAGATGTTGGTGTCACAATACATTCGTCCTTGTTTACTAGAAATGTTTTTTCTTCACAGTGTGGAACGAAACTGCATATGGGATGCCAGTGACGCCGGAGAAGAGTTCGCTTGTGCTCCCCCTGGTGTTACAGTACCTTACTCCTACAGCAGTCTCATTTTTCGGGCTCGGAGCTGTTTCTGCTGCTGTAATGTCTTCATCAGACTCTTCCGTTCTTAGCGCCAGTTCTATGTTTGCCCACAACGTCTATAAGCTGATATTTCGCCAAAATGTAAGATTCACCTCTCGAAAGTTGGTATTAATTAATAAATATTGTTCGCTAATTTCTTGTTCTTACTGTAAATTCCAATTCACAGGTAATAATTCACAGTTTAAAACCCAAACTAACTACCTAAAAAACGGCTAATGTAGCGGAGGAAAATCGTTAGATTTTCAGCAGATAAGAATCCATATTGTGGAAAATACGAAATATTCCAGAATCTCGGCTTTGAAGATAAGAAAACTTGCGTGTTTCTTTATTATAGTAGCAAAATATTGGGGTAGCATAATAATTCTTTCTCATATCTGATTCATTTGGATGATTAATTTAAAAAATAATACTATTTAAATATATATGATGAATTTCGGTGCACATAAATAAGCCATAATCAGTCAGAGCATCGCATTCAAACTTCAAGGCAATGGTCTGCACTCGGGGATAGTTTACACCCACCTACAGTCAATTCTGCGGACGTCCATGGTGTAATTCATTACCTTAGTACGATTTCATCTATACAATGTATGTCATTCTAAGATATCACACTGGTTTTATTACTTTACACTGTCTGTGAACACACACACACACGATGAACACAAATTCATCCCATTATAAACTTACAGTGAACAGTGCTTTATATTTATGCACGACGCGCTGTGTTAATATGTACTAGAACAATCTTGTAATGGCTAGAATACTTAGATCCGTACACTTTCCTTTAGCTCAATGAAATTACGCTGAATTAATCGGTACTTTGTTGATCATTCTGTCTGTTATTTTCACTCAGTTTGCCCTCCAGTGATTAACACTGTAAACACTACACCATTTCCTATGTGTATTCAGGGGTAAAATTCTAAAAAAAGTAGAGACACTCAGCTGGAAATATGGAAAACGACAATTTCAGAGTCAATGAATAAATGTTTTCTGACGAAACAATGGAACGCACAAGCATCCGAAAAAACAGCTCAAATAAGTCCCGGTACTAGTACCACCTTAAAAAATACGTTCCGGTTTTGTTTTTGTTTGTTTGTAATTAAACACAAAGGTGCACAATGGGCTATCTGTGCTCTGCCCACCACGGGTGTCGAAACCTGGTTTCTAGCACTGTAAGTCCGAAGAAATGCCTCTGTGCCACTGGAGGGCATATAAGTTCCGGTACTCAGTACCGGTTAATACCAGCAGAATATCACCCCTGACAGTGTATTACATGTTTACCAATCCTCTTAAGATGTCCTTTTGACATTAAAACTGTAAATACCTCATACCAATTATTTCTTACTAAATACTTGTATATATTTTCTCACTAGGACGTTTATCGATACCATCAGCTGTTTCGGTTGTAAAATAAACACGATACTATTAGAATGTTAAGAGATTATTTTTTTTTACAAAGGAAAATGTTAAATGCATTAGAGGATCTGAGTCTTTTTTTGTTACTCTATACAGGCATCAGAACGAGAAGTAGTGTGGGTGATTAGGATTTCTATTGTCGTTGTTGGAGCATTAGCGACAGCCATGGCGCTAACTGTCGGGTCCATCAACGCTCTTTGGTACTTATGCTCTGACCTTGTCTACGTCATCTTGTTTCCTCAGTTGCTATGTGTTGTCCATCTCAAAAAGTACTGCAACACTTATGGGTCATTAAGTGCGTATATTGTAGGGCTTTTGCTTCGAGCTCTCGGTGGAGAGAGCATTCTGGGACTCGAACCAGTTATTCACTACCCATTCTTTAGTGAAACCAGTGGTCAGCGATTTCCTTTCAGGACTTTGTCTATGTTGGCTAGTCTAGTGACCTTGTTGGTAATTTCAAAATTCACCAAGTGGGTATTTGAAATGGGTTATCTTCCACAAAAACTGGAGATCTTTCGCTGCGTGGTTAACTTTCCAAAAAGTATCGACAAAGCATGTACATCGCTGAGTGATCCAGTAACAGTACCAAATGTCAGTACTGTCCGTACAGAAATGAACGGTAAGGTCAATTTGGCCGTAGACCTCAAAAGTGAAGATAAGTTTAAGATGGACGCAGACTATCGCACTTCATTGAAATTGAAAGAATCATCTGTATAAAACTGAATTACAAACAAACTAGAAGCATGTATAGAAGGAAGTTGCGTTTTTTTACTGTTATAACTGGCAACTTCGTTTCATCCTTGTTTCTTTATGACATTCAGTGTTGTGTTTTACATATGAAAAACAACATATTTTAACATTAAATAGCAGATTGTTTAGAATTATAATCAAGTGTTTATTTCAGTCTTCCTAAAGTCATTTCCTAAACCAAAAGTAGTGAAATTTAAAGTTGAGAGTATCAATATATCAATTTGTTTCTATCATTTTGGGATAATTATTTTTTAAAAAATAGAATATGTGCACTTGATAAGTCTAGTCTAATATTTAAGGAACATTTCTTCAGGTCTTAGATTCATAAATAAATGTGATCTTTTCTTTACTGTGTGTCAATTACTATACAGTTTAAAAGAACGTCTTTTTTTTATTAAAATAAGAATGTATGTATTCAAGTAAATAAACTTTATATTTTATTGTTGTTGTTTACATTAATTTTCCTTCGAATTATGAGATATGTTCAACAGGATAGGGCTAGGTGGTTAGGTCGCTTGACTCGCAATCTGAGGATCGCAGGTTCGAATCCACGTCCCACCAAACATGCTCGCCCTTTCAGCCGTGGGGCGTTATAATGTGATAGTCAATCCCACTATTCGTTGGTAAAAGAGTAGCCCAAGAGTTGGCGGTGTGTAGTGATGACTAGCTGCCTTCCCTCTTGTCTTACACTGCTAAATTAGGGACGGCTAGCTCAGATAGCTCTCGTGTAGCTTTTAGCGAAATTCAAAACAAACAAACAAAACACAACTATGTACACACCAAAATTTCCAATCAACACACAAAACACAAATATCAGACTAAATGAAATAGAAAACCCAATTACACATTTACTAACAAAAACAATTACAGAAACAGAAGTCCAACAAGCTATTAAAACCACCAAAAACAAGGCACCAGGAGAGGATGGCACACAGGCTATCCTCCTCAAAAAAGGCACTCGGGGATTGTATGGATACCTTACAGTACTCTTTAACTTATCACTAAGCTCTGGATATATCCCGGTTTCTTGGAAGCAAGCAATCGTACTTATGTTCCATAAAGAAAGAAAGCCAGCAAATAAACCAAACAACTACCGCCCGATCAGCCTGACCAGCTGCGTAGGAAAAAATTCTAGAACAAATAATAAGCAATAGACTCTCAAATTACCTAGAAGTCACTTCTAAATTACCAGAAACACAAAATTTTTTAGAAAATTCAGACAGACAACAGATCATCTGGTTAGACTTACAGAAACAATAACTGATAGCTTCAACAAAAATGAATGCACTGTCGCCTGCTTTCTCGATGTAGAGAAAGCTTTCG